TCCACGCCCACATAGATGCCCTGTCGTGGTGGGTGGGGTCCCCCCCCCCCCCCCCCCCCCGCCATGCTGCCATTCAGAAGCGGATCCTGCTCCCCTGGCACCCCTGGGCTCACCCATCTTGCTCCTGCCTTTTCTCAATGCCATCACCCCCCTCCAGTACCTGTCAGCCTCTCCCTCCCGCCATGTGCAGCTGCTTGAAATAATCCCCCATGAAACCTCTTAATTTTAAGGAGCTATTTAGGGAGCTGTGCTCAAATCCCTCTGAAATCCTCTTTACCCTGAGGGCTGTGAAAAATAAAATAAATGCCATTGCCCCCACCCTCTGCTGCAGCAGCAGGGGCTGAGGGGCGCAATGGGAAAGGCAGGACTGTTTCATTGCTGCTCAAGTGCCACTTCCCCTGGAGATGTGGGTGGAATCCTCTCCCCTAGGAGAGGGGAGCTCTTCCTGTTGCCGTGCTCCCAGATGTGCTCCAACAGCTGGCAGTTGGTTGTAAAACACATGTGCAACGTCAGCAACACGATACCGATGCCATGTGGCACTGTAAGACTTCGGCTAGCTGACCGCTGCGTAGCTTGTAGTCTCTCCATTTCTCCATTAAACGACGTGTTGGGCGCAGTTGTGCTGTGCATCAGGGTGCACTTAAAGCCAGCGTCATTCTGGATGAGCAGTTTGTCCTTGTCTCTCTCCTGTCCTGGAGGGGTTTCTCTCTGGATTGGGGCACCCTGGTTGCATTTGGTGGTGATGACCAAATGGGGAGGGGGTCTGGACACTAAGGGGTATGTACACTGTGGTTTTGTTTGTATTGAGGGCAGTGGCCCCGTAGGCTACCAGCCCACCCACAGCGATGGAGCTTGCACCAAGCACGCTGCCTGCTTTCCTTGGGAGCTGAGTGCATGAGTACAGTGCTCAGCCAATACTGGCACTGGAGGCCAGGTGGTGTGTCTATATGGTGTGTTTGTCCTCTCCTGATGTCTGATCCTGTCTCCGTACAGCTCCAGCTATTGGTCAGACTCCACCTGAGCATCTCGGGGTAGGAAGAAAAAGCCTGTAAACTCTGAAACCTACAGATAACACCTGG